TCTCTCTCTCTCTCAGCCTGCCTCTCTCCCCTCTCCCTTGGCCCAAATCCCTCCTTCCTCCCTCCCCGCGGCCGTAGGCCCAAGTGGGCATTCGGTCTAGCTCGTCTGGGAGCCCACGCACCCTCCCTCTCGTCTCGGTCTCTGACCGACCGGCCCAGCTTGGCCTTTCCATCTCTCGGAGCCAGCCCGCTTCTTCGGCCCAAGCCACATGGGTGCCCGCACTCCCTCTCCTCTGGTCTCGCTGATGCACCGGGCTGCTTGTCGGCGTTGTGTCCTTCCCCGAACTATGCTCGAGTGGGACGCCTGGGGATGGAAATCCCACCGCTCAGCTCCGCTTTTCTTGGGATTTTGTGCAATCCACATGAGAAATTGCCCCTATAAGATGTAAGGAATTCCACTGCCCTCATTTTCCCATCTACTAGCCGCAGCCGCCTCTAATCGAGCTCTCACGCGCCGTCGAACCCTAGCCAGTGCCATTGCTACTCGGTCCACCGCTACATTGCTTCTCCGCCATCCTCGACTCACTACCAATCTTCTTCACGCAGTAGTGAAGCTCCTCATACTATTTTACCCCTTTTTCTTTCTCTCTTTTGCTCACACCGTGTCACCGATATTCCGCAAGAAGCTGCTGCCGCCCCATCGAGCCTTTCGCCGTCTTCATCACGCCTTGGGCCGTGATAAGCCCCTAGGTGAGGTCGCCGTTGCCTACTCTTTCTTCCCATGCCTTATGATTGCTTCTTCGTGGTCCGTAGGCCCTTCTTCATGTGCGCCGACATGTTTCCTCGCCGCCGGTAATGGTGAACCGCCGCGGTCGCTACTGTTCTGTCCGGCCATCTTCTCTCTTTCCCCTCTCTTTTAATCTGAACCTAGGGATTTTATTTCACCAGTCATAGGTGTGTAGAAAAGTTGATGACCGGGTTTAGGATAAATGGCCGTACTATCAAGAGGGGCAAACTTGCTTGCATATCAGTCATCTAGTGCCACTCGAGTGATCTAACTTTGTATCATCACTAGGATCAAGTGGCGTGGCAAGTTGAGTGGCTAATCCTTTCAAAAATATTTGTGAAAAGCTAACACACATACACATGGTGGTGTACACTTGGTGGGGTTGGCACATTTGCAAAGGAGAAAAAGTTGGAGTTGAAACGGATCAACTCGGTGAAGAAACGGAGGCGATAAGTGGTCACTGGAGGTGACCGGACGCTGGCTCCGAGGGGACCTGCATGTCCGGTCATGCTCGGCAGTGAAGGCACAGTCTTTGGTCTTCGATCGGACGCTGGCGTTGAATGTGACCTGACGCGCAGGGGCTACATCCGGTCAGTGATGACGTATGCTAACGTAGCGTGCTGAGTTGATCTAGAGGGGATCAGATGCAGAGGCAAGTCTGGTCACCAGTCCGGTAACAAAACAGAGGCTCAGGGAGCTCTCTGGAAACGACCGGACTTTGAGGCTCGCGCGTCCGGTCTTGGCGCAGAGGTCCATCCGGTCATTACTTGACCGTTGGCGCGTGGCAGCCAACCGTTGAGATCAAGCGACTAAGGTTGAATGGGGGCGACGCGTGGCGTGCATCCGTTGATCGGACGCTGGCTGGGTGCGTTCGGTCATCTTGACTGGCGCGTCCGGTCCACCAGAGTAGTACCTGATGAAGGGGTACAATGGCTCTATTTTCTTAGAGGCTATAAAACCAAGCATTGGCCCGCCTTGGGCTGGTAGCACTACAAGAAATCTGAAGATCTATGACAATTTTTTTGTGACTATGAGTCAATTCGTCAATAAGTCATTCTGTTTTATAACGACTTTTGGGTGGAGAATGACTTTCTGACAAAAATTATGTGTTCGTCATTAAGACGCAATAAAAATCGTCATAACCTAGAGAAGTAGTTTGTCTATGATGATCTATGTTCCGTCATAACATGCTACCTTGCAGTTGTCATAAATTATTGGCAATATTAGTTTGTCATAACTTTTAGTTAAATTTTAAAAGAAATTAGATAGCTAGTCCCACAGTCATTTGTATATATCAGCATGTAATTGATAATTTATCAAATTGTTATATATACAGCCCATCAGGCTTGCGCAATGCGCTCCACGCGGGGGCAGCCTAGCAGGCCTGCATACACCACATGTATAGTATGTTTATATTTTCAATATCCGTCCTGTGCTTGCTTTTTTTTTTAGATCTCCACCCCGTGCATGCTAATCAAATCTCCTTGGCCTCTAAATCACGTGTTTTGCACCTGCTTGCGCACGCAAGGACCCCATGGCCCATGGGGAAACCGGAAACCTGCCTGGACTTCTTTTCCCCACATGCGCCAGCACACCAGCGGACCAGCCCAAAGCCTTGGACGTGGCCCAGCACGAGGAACGCAGCGCTCACTTAAAAAAAAAACTACTGCTCCGTTCCGTCGCCTCTTTCTCCTCCTTTGCAGCCACCGTCCCGTTCCATGGAGTTTCGCGGAGGCTACCGCCCGCGTCTTTTCCAAAGCTCCAGCCGGCCTCTCTCTTCTCTACTCTCTCTCACCCAACGACGACAGGGCACCGCGGTGCCGCGTGGTGCAAGCCTATTGGCCGAACCACGTCACGCGCACTCACCCGGTGTCTGATCTCGCTTCCTGCTCGAACACACACGCTCCCGCGTCCGCAAATCTGGAAAGCCGCGGCGCTCTCTCTCTATCTCTCTCTTTTTCTGGGCCGCTGCCAGGCGGGTCCGACAAGCACGTACTCGTGGACATCCAGAACATTTTTTAGGTGTAGATAGATTAGTAGCTTTGCAAAATCACAGTAGTAATTACTAATTTCTTGTTATGATGAAAAAATAGTATCTGATTTACGTTGTTATATAGTAAAGTGATGTTGTACGAGTAGTTATTAATTTCTTTAAAAACCGACATTACAAACTAATTATTGTTTTTTTATAGAGCCACTAAAATACAAGTTCGATTAATACCTACGAAATCACTTCATTTTTCCTTGATTTTCAGGAAGTGAGCTCAATTGTAACATTTATTCTTATATATATTTTTGTATCATCTGTTGATTTTGTTTGACATCAGACGTAGTTCAACTAATAATATGTTGGAGGAGAGGGGGAAACCTAGATAGAAAACTAATAATAGGAGATCCTTCATATATGCTTTTAGGGGAGAGAGAGAGGATAAGTAATATGTTAGAGGTGCTCTGAGATTAGCCGAGAAGTAGCAACCACAGATACAATCTAAATATAAAAAAGTTTATCAAGGATTTTAGTATTCTCTTTATATGTGAAGTGTGATATGAGGCGTAATATGCATGCTTCACCAAGTGGATGCGCCATTTCATGGAGCCCTGACTACAACTCCTAGGTTTTCAAGGGTCTCATATATTTCGACGTCATATGCACCTCAAACTTTTTCTCAAGCTTGTGTGTTCCACAAGTTAAGGAAACGCTAAGTTTTAGATTTTTCAGAGGTGGTTTGCTATTTTCTACGGTTTAAATGAATTTTTGCGTGACGTTACGAAGTAATTGGAGGTTGGACTGAGACCACCCCCGAAACGATCCAAAATGGTACAAGATTTTTATACTAGATCTCATATGGCCCAGTGAAACAATTTTGGTGGAGGTGGATGATGAAAAATTATATTATTTTGAATGGGTAACTCAACCTCTTTTCTTCATTTTAGAACAAAATAAATTCAATAATGACTGAAATTAATAAGAAAAATCTAAGATTTTGTGTGGGGCCATGCTTGAGGTCTACATGCTTGCAAGAAAATTTTCAAGACATTTTGACAAAGGTGTAATATATATGCTTCACATAGTTACAGTAACAATGGAAACTTAGATTGAGTAAATTACTGAGCTATCTACAGATATAAGGAACCTAGATCACCAACTAGAAGAAGTAGCACCACCACCAATTTGTAGATTGGAATCAAACCCTAGAAACACCTCAAGAACAAATATCGCAAGTAATGAAGCAAAACACAAGTGACACAATGATTTATTCCGTGGTTCAACCCGCCACTAAGGCTTGTCTACCTCCACGTTATTGAGGTTAGCCACTAAGGCTTGAGCTTTATAACTCTACCTCGTTCTCAAGTGAAGGAAGTGAATCCTTGAGATGAGGAGTGTTTCACTATATGATTAGGGTGATTACAATGTATCACTCACACAGTTATATAAAACTATGTGAGGGATGTATCTATTTGTGAACAATGTATAGTTTCACTTTGTTAAAATAACTTAAATTTTTTTTGCAATCTAGTTATATAAATTCAGTAGACAATAGTTCTTATGATTTGCAATCTAGTAACATAAAATTCGTTGCAAATAAATAAAAGAAAAAAAAATTAAACAGAGGCTCGCAGAAATAAAGCCCATCTCGTGGATCTGGCCCATCTCAGCCCGCAAGCCACGCCTCATTCAGGCCATTAGATCAAAATGAACGACCAAGATGCATCAAACCTCACATAAAAGCACCTCCAAAAACCCTAGACAGCTCCTGGATCCACACCCTCTCCGCTTCCTCCCCTCCCGTGCGCCTCCACACCACTGCCCGCCACCTGCTGCTACCACTCCCCTCCCTCTAGATGCCGACCGCGACGCCACCCCTCCATATCCAATCCAAGGCGCCGGAGGCAATGGATCCAACGCTAGCAGCAGAGGATCAGGTCCTGGCGGCCGCAGATTTTAATGGAGTCATCGACGAGGAAGAACCGAGGAGGAGGCAACGGATCTAGCGTGCACGGAGGAGCTCAAGATTCCCAGGTCTCATCCGGAGTCGTCGCCCCCACTTCGCTCGCGAAGAACCACAGCCACCCTGCGATGACGCAGATCATCGACGGCAAGGCCATCGCTGCCGGCGTCCGACGCGACGTCGCCGCCGATGTGGCCGCGCTCTCCTCGGCCCAGACTCGTAAGCACTCCGCTTCCCTCTATCCGCTGCCTGTGAGTTCTTGGATCGAGGCGCGTAGGCCTCGGATTGTGTGCTGATGCTGTGCTCTCTCGCTCGCTCGCTCGCTCACTCGTAGGTTCCGAGGCTGGCCGTGACCATCGTGGGGAGCCGGAAAGACTCGCAGACGTCCGTGAACACGAAGCGCAAGGCGTCTGCCGAGGTCGGCATCTGCTCATCGACGGCGACCTCCCTGAGGACATCTCCAAGCCCGCGCTCGTCGCCGAGGTTCATCGCCTCAACGCTGACCCCGTCGTGCACGGTACCGCCTCCATTTTTTCCATTCTCCTTCGTTGCTCGTGGTCTCTGGTTGTCAGGCTGCCAACATGCTACTCTGATTGTGTTGCGAATGTAGTAATCTCCCTGCTTGCGTGGTAACTCTGGACTCTAGAGATGATTAGATTTCCGTTATTATGGAAATAAGGTGAATGGTATGACTCTGATTGTTTTGTCCAGTAATTGAATCATGCACTGTATTACTCTGGATTGGTTGGCTGATTATTACTTGATGGCTTATTCCCAGGAAGTCGACGTCATCGGCTGCATCAGCTCCTTCCACTTCTACCTTACGCAAACTTGCATATTCGCATGAAGTCAATTTCATCTGCGGCATCAGCTCCTTCCATTTGTTCCTTACAAAAATCCATGTACATTCATGTACGAGTCCAGATTGGGTTCTTTCCAAATTCAAAATTCTCCCCTGTAGATGTATGACCATTTAACCTATTGATTTGTTTATGAATGGAATGTGTTTGAGCTGTGATTTTAATAATTTGGACTATTTGTGTTTTGTCTGGTTCAGATTTTTTTTATCATGGGCCGTCCTAAAAAAACGTGGCATGGGCTGGACCTAAAAATATTGGCTATAAAATGGGCCTCTGAAAATGCAAACAGGAATGCGAAAATAAAAAACAGGCTGAATGTGAAAATAAAAATCGGACTAAAAAATATGTTCTCTTATGCTGCTGGACTGTAGGCTAAATGGGCCAAACAAAAAATTGTGTGGGCTAATTATAATAAAACAAAATGGGCTGAAAAAAATATTAGAAAGCTAAATGGGCCACTTAAAAGTCTGCTTAGTGTATGGGCTTAGCCAGGCCTTAAGATATTTAGTGACGACTCTCTAATCTGGTTGTCATTAAAAATTATGATGAAAAAATATGCAATCGTCATTAAACAAGATTTACCACTCATAATCTTTGACGATTAATTTTTCATCATGCAGTCGTCACAAATACAACTATGACAAATATATCAGAATTCATGATGACAATAAGTCGTCATAGATCCTAAGATTTCTTGTAGTGTAGCTTAGCACACTAGAGCCTTGGTGCCTTATGTGGTAGTGCTTGGGAGCTCTCCAACTCACTTGAGCTTGATAGTGTTCATCTGATCGAGTGAGTGAGCGATTCTAGTGCAATTGCATCGTGAGGTTGCATCGAGTGGCACTAGCTGATCGAGTTGCAAGCCGATGGTGCTTGTTACTCTTTGAGGTTGTCACCTCCTAGATGGCTTGGTGGTGGTCTCTGTTGAAGCCCGCAAGAAGCTTGTGCGGTGCTTCCGGAGAAGTGCTTTGTGAGGGGGATTGTGCTCACTCCGCGGGAGCCGCGAAGAGCAACTCTAGTAGAACGAGACGCGAAGGGCGACAAGTGGTCCGGCCAGGTCAAGTGCTAGAGTTTGTGGTAAGCACTCCACGTGGGAGAGTGTGACTTGCGGGTCACCACTAGCAAGAAGATCAGTGGCAACCTTGGAGCTTGTCTCAACGGGGATTAGCATGTTGGCAAGCACATGAACCTCGGGATAAAAATCATCGTGTCATCCTTGTTTTTCCATTGGTTTGCATCCTCGTTACACAAGCTTATATTTACTTCATTTACATTGTGCTTGTGTAGTTGTTATTGTAATTAGTTAGCTTGTGTAGCTCACTAGTTACCTTCTTGCTTGTGTAGCATAGAAGTAGCTCTCTTGCGTGGCTAATTTAGTTTGTGTAACCTTGTTAGTCATATTACTTAGTTTGTGTAGCTAAGTATTTGCGCTCTCTAATTTGGCATTGGTTGTCTTATTATTGAGCTTTGCTAGTGAGCTTAGGAGCTTTGTGCTTTTACTTACTAGAATTGTGTAGGAGCTCCCCGGTGTGCAAAATACTAGTGTCATAGGTTTGTATGACCTTACTTCTAGAATTGGTTAGGTGAGCTCTAACTAGCCCGGCACCTTTGTTGCCTAATTAAAATCATTATAAGGTGCTTGTGAACTTAGATAGAGGGGTGTAGTCTTGGCTAGACCGATTGTTTTAATGCCGTATTTGTTTCGATTAGCCGACGCGATTAAATTTAGAAAAGACTATTCATCTCCTTAGTCCGCCGTCTCAACTTTGTCCATCAGCCAAACAGGACACAGACCACCGGAGCGCTACTGTATTTTGGTGGAAGTCGGGTAGGCTTCTACATGATCGGGCTGTCAATAATGAGTTATGATAACAGACAGCGAGAGTATGTACTAGCAAGCAATAAAAAACAGGACCGTAGAAGATTTAAATAACTCCAAGCTTGGCATCTTAGGATAGAGTATGATTTTATCCTAGGAATTAAAATAAATTTTCTATGAATTTTGAAATATTAAATAAACCAGATTTTTGGATAGAAAAAATATTTAGATAATTCTTTGAGGAATCATCTGTACAAATTCTCTATTATTCATACTTAGAGTGGGCATCGGACGTGAACTCACTCATGTAGGAAAATTCCCTTGTGCAATACCACGACCGCAGTGCACCAATATTAGCACAGTGAACCCAATCAATTGCTGAACAATGCAAGCATTGTGATGTGTCCAATAGGATTCACGAAGCACGGATCCATGTCGCACACCATGCATGCATCCAAGTTCAGTGTCTCACCGATTAATTCTCTGAATGGTTGCTCGACATGTCACTTCATGGCAAGTTAAATACAACTGCCAACAAACAACTATCCATAGAGGCGTATTTGTAATTTATTCCAACACTGTTATTATCATTGTGCGCATGAAACTGAGTCAGGCTCCCCATATATATCAAGCCAAATTGTACTACGATAAGTATATGACCGGTAGACTTGGCACCTTAACAAGTCAGTCAACGCGCTTTGTCGTGACCTCAATAATAGGGAATGCTGGATCAATTAGATTCTTAGGATGCATCACTAGCTTTTCCAACTTGCTCAACTTTGTTTTTTATATGATTTTTAGACCATATCACGCGGTAGGGTTGCGTCAACATACTATTAATACATGTGACGATCCAGACGACTAACGTATGCCGTCGTAATCTGACATGGAAATGATGCCTAGTAGCGTACTTTTATGTGTTGCTACGGTAGTATTTATACCGATCAAACTTTCTTCGGTTTGACTAGATTTGTAAAAAATATTAGTAATATTTGTATCTTCAAATAAATTTATTATGAAAATAAATTCAATGACCTATCTAGTGATAATAATTATGTAACATAAATATTAATATTTTCTTATATATATTTGTCAAAGTTGAGCATGTTTGACTTCTGGGAAAGCCAGAACCATAATTGAAAACGTTTGGATAGAGTAAGGCTGTTCACTTTCAAACTTGCCAAGATGTTTTCTTAGTAGGATGGACGTGTTCCTTTGTGCCCAAACTGCATAGCACTAGTACCATGACCAACACACTTAATCATAGAAATTGTGGCTTAGCTTAAATTTTTTGCTAAAGAGATTACACATGAAGACGCTCATGTACATAAACACGTACAAAGTCCAACGAACTTTGTGCCTTTGCTGTTACACTACGCTACTACATCGTTTGTGCGTCTAAACTTGGCATCACTGCCGGATTCAGATCCGACAGAGAGCAACCGGACATCAGGATTCAAAATCAAGACTTTAATGTTCTCTCGAGCATTCATACCAGCTTAGCTACGTAAAACTTGTATCTATGCATCTGGTGCTATTCTTTTAATTACCCAAATTTGAATCTTATATTATATATTTTACACTCAATATGATATCAAATGAAAAAGTTATTTACTGCAAAATTATTGATCTTGTGGAGTACTACAACTTCGATGTTGACTTTGTCTCCATTTGGCATTGTTAGCCATCTCAAATCCGATCTGAGAACTTATATTAAATATTTGGACACGTAAACCATCTCAAATTAAAAAGCTGGCAACTACAAAGTTTATACTTCTTTGAACTCTACTATTTTGTTATGAAGTTTATCTGGACCCCACTTCATATAAAAAAGTATGATTGTTTTATGCAAAACAGCCTATCACCAGCAGTGATAGATGGACCTTCACTGCCTGTTGTACTATAATTATCGGTTATAGCCAGAAAAGCAGTGAAATTTCACTTATCACTGCCGGTTAAAGCGGTAATGATACACTATCACTGCAACTTCCAAAGCATCCGGCAATGATTACCTATTCTGAGGTAGTGTTAGCTCAACTGTTCACCATTTTGTTAAATTTATTTCCACACCAGAAATTGGCCAACAAAAAACAAAAGACATAACATAAATCAGCAAAACCTAAGGAAATTGTGGAATCAATCACAATATTTCGATCACCTTACACTAGTATATTTTTCGAAGAAAAAACTATTGCTATACAAGCTTAATGTGTCAAGAACTATTTTTACACAACCCTGGTCATCTGCATACCTGTAATTAATGTCTATGGTGAACCAACCATAAGAGCAAAACATGATAAGATAGAGTGAGATGTGAGCACTCTGTCATGTTATTACAGCACCACCAGCTTCAACTTGAGCATCATCGCCATGGATTCGTTCACCATAACCTCATGCTTGCCCAATAAGCACCACGGATTCCGTGCGCTCATCGCATATATATAGGCACACACACCCAAGGTCATTAGCTTCTCCTCCATCTCAGCTTCGTCTTGGTCACCAATGGTCGTTGGAACCTTGTGTACTGTGTTCTTCGACGTTCCTGGCTTCGTGCTTTGTTGTTGTGGCATGATAGTGTCTTGCCGTCATTGTGCACCAATGTTTTACATTACAATTTGCACATGGGCAGCGATCTTATTTTGGAACAATATATGTTCATATAATTACTTTTATCATTTGGAACGGCTATCTAGGTGTATTTGATCAAGATATTTGCTTAGATGTGTTAGTTGCTCGGGTGTGTGCGAAAGGGCCTATACCCTAGTGGTTACAGTAGTCTCAGCAGTATCTCAGGTCTTGGGTTCAATTCCCCGTGTGAGCAAATATTTCAGTATTTAAGGGCATTGTGCTTTCAGTAGTAAGTGATGTTTCGGTCGACAACGAGACGACTGTGGTGACTTAGTCAATCTCTCATAGGGGTAGGCTTTCTTAGGGGTGAATGTGCATGTGTGCTGAGCGTCTGTATTGTACTGTTTAATTCGAAAAAAAATTGTTATAGTGTTTGCATGGAAATAAACTACAAAAATTTTATATATTTTTTATTTTAAATATTTTATTTCTGCAAATCGAATGTAGCTATATATTAGTCGTGTTAGGTACATATAGAGCCTTCTGTTAAATCTATTTAATCACAAAATCAAACAGTTTTTTTTTTTGCTTTTATCAGTTTAATCTCATGACCTGTAGACGCTCCTGAGATGGAGACACTAGTTACAAAAAAAATTAAAATTGGACACTTAAGCATGAACAACAATATAGCTCCCATCAATGGGTTGGCAGGTGTCACACTAATTTGCTCATCAAAATGCAAATTGGCAGCCCTATTTGAAACAATCTATTCTACTCCAATCATACTAACAATCATCAAAACCATGTAATTAGCTAGGAATTTAAATGGGTTCATAGGCACCAACATTTTGGAAGATGGATTCGCCACAATTTACTTGGATGCCTTCTTCAAAATCCAATTGGAAAGGGCTCTCTAAAATGGAGAAACAACTAGAATGAAAATCAAGCAATGTAGCCATCAAAATAACGGTAAAGCAACAAAATCGAAGAAGTGGGTGCTTGTTACTAACCTTAAAGCAAGAAGATCATGCTCATGCTTGAAAATCCAAGAGCTTCATGGAGAAGAACGACCGCAACAATAGAGGGAGTGGGGAAAACGCGAGGCTGCTGGATGGGTGTGCTCGGGATGGAAGAGAGGACGATAGCTTTTTGTAATGTCAGTTTATCATTGTCGGCTTAAGCCAAAAACCGACAATGATATCACCACATCATTGTCGGTTAGTGGCTAGAACCAACGTGATATATCACCGTCCATTTACTGCCGGTTCTAGCCACAAACCGGCAGTAATATGGACTTTAATTGTCGGTTTTTGGCCATCCCCAATTAGTTTCTGATTTTGAAGCTCAGAACCGACAGTGAAAGGTTATCACTGCCGGTTCTCCAAAAACCGGCACTGATGGTACCGACAGTGAATGTCGAATCTGTTGTAGTGGGAGGGCCATCTGCTTAGTGACTCGTGGTTGTGGGCCTTTCGGATGACGCGTGGCTTCACGAAATCGTAGAGAAATCGGCTAGTGGGGTTTTTCTATTTAGCTATAGTAGATTGTAACAGACTAAAGCTAAATATAAAATATTTGCAATAATCGTCGCCTGAAAGGAAACTAAAATTCAGCCACCTGAATTTTAGAAGTCCCTCCCTTTGTTCCAGCTGTCCCGTGATGCTTAATCCTTCATCAAAGAAAAAATCTCTTTATTTTGTACTGGGTACAAACTAAATGATTATTTTTATCAACACTAAAATAGTTAATTAATTTGCTCCTCTTGGTTCAGTTTAATTTGTCAGGCGGCAGAAATGGAACTTCGCGAACATGTACATCCAAGTATAGAAATACCATGAATAATGCCCAATCATTAATTAGATTTTCAATGAACTCTTATTTCCTATATTAGATAGTGACAATGCAATCAAACATACTACTGGCGGCTCGCACGCACGCATAATAATAAGTATTACTCCTCCACATGCCATTTATTCAATACATATATAAGGTGCACATGTACGTAACGCTTGTGTGTGCAACATATATAAGCACTAGTAGTTGGTATCCCAGAACTGAGACTGGAGCCAATCTATGAGTTTCTTTTCCACCTGGAACGCCTTGGCCAAAACATCATCCGCGATCGGCGGCTTCGATCCAAACACTGCGCTGGCGATCGTAATAACACCAGGGTTTTGGCTGCTGAGCGATGACAAGGCAGCCGCTGGCTTATCATGGTCCAGGTTCATCTGGAAGTGGATCATGGCCTTGGGGAAGACGAACACGTCACCCTTCTTGACCACCTTGGAGAAGAGCCTGTTTGGGTTGGACGTGACGAAGCCAAGGTAGAGGGTGCCCTCGAGCACAGTGAGGAGCTCGGTGGCGCGGGGATGTATGTGGGGCGGGTTCACACCCAGGGGCGCGTAGTCGATGCGCGCCAGCGAGATGCCTAGGGTGTTGAGGCCCGGGAAGCTCTCGACGTTGATGTTGGTGACGTTGGATCCCACCTTGTTGTTGGTGTCCCTGCGCTTGTCGATGATCATGGCTGGGTTGTAGAAGTCGTCCGGGGTCACGGCCATTGGGTCCTTGCAAGGAAACCCATTGACACGCACTGCACACACAAAAAATATACATGCACAAAAGCTGGTCAGAAACTAATAAATTCAACTTAGAGATAATATTCTGCTTAGACTGGATTAAGCAGCATGCATGCATAGACGTGCGTACCAGGCGAGTTCTTGTCTGCAACACAGAAGTCCTGGAGAGGGCTAGGATCGTAGGCGATGGCCTGCTGCCATGAGGCCAGCGCAACAAGCGCCGCTGCAAGGAGGACCAAGGAAGAAGAGGAGGCCATCTTGTGTGCCGTTTGCAGTGGATAAGTGAGTGAGGTGTGCATTGGCCACGGTAGATGTGCTGCACTTTATAGCTGCAGCAGAACGACCGAGGTGGCGTACGTAATGCGCAATAGTAAGGATACGTGGAGCTTGCATGCGATAAACAGAACGAGTCAGAGCGAGGCTCAGGTACGTGGGAGACTAGCAATAGTACGTGCGTTTGAAATAGTCTCTGACTGCTACAAATTGAATACTTCCACAACGTTCATCAATATCTATCTACTAACTGATCTATAACGTGTGGCACCATGGCCTTGTGACGTTTGTGACTTTGTGGGGATTGTCATATGTGTTGTGCCACCTAATTAGCATTGGCGGATCCATTAGCTACATGGTGGTATACTGGTATATATAAAACTAAATCATTCATTGAGGTTTGAGAGGCTAATAGTCGCTCTTCCATGGTACTTTCCCTCTTAAACATTGTGAAAGCAAATTCATATAGAAAAATAATTTAGTGCCACCATTTTTTTAAAAACAAGAGACATAATATAATACGCCCGTATGTTGCACGGGGTCACAATTTTTTAAATTGAACCTCAGTAATGTGGCACAAACACGTAAGCTCCGATGACTTCGTATCGGACGTGAACACGTGGATTCTATCTTCATATCGGAAACGGATAGGACATGGACATGTGAGCTCTGAGTGAAGTAAGATTTGTATTAGACGCGGACTGTGAGTAGGGATTAAGATTTGGTATCACTGGGTGGATAATAACTTTAAAGTATTTCTAGGTGTAGATAGATAAGAGAAGCGGCAATTCTAGCGCCCGGACGTCCGGCGCGTGAGTGCGTCCGGACACCAGTACGCTTCCCAACCACCCCCCTCCACCCTGCCTCATATAACCGAATATAAATGGAACCCGCCCCTGTCCTCTGCTCCCCACCGCGCCCATATCCCCGTTCCCCCCACCGCACCCCTGTCCCAAAAAAGAGCACGAAATACATCAAGTGCAACATTTAAACATATGAATAAACTATATAGTATAACATCAGGATAAATACTACAACATCGCAAAAATATGTAGTGCAACATTGAAAAACATGTACTGCAACGTCGAAAAACATGTACTGCAACAACGAAAAATACGTACTGCAACAACAAAAATTATGTACTGCAACATAAAAAAAACATGTACTGCAACATCGAAAAATATGTGCTGCAACAACGAAAATTATGTACTGCAACATCCAAAAAATATATGCTGCAACATCGAAAAACATGTACTGCAACATCAAAAAAATATGTACTGCAACATCAAAAATTATGTGCTGCAACATCGAAAATTATGTGCTGCAACATCTCAAGCACTAGTACTGCAATATCTCAAGCAGTAGTACTGCAACATCGCAAAAAACATTTGCTGCAACGACCCAAAAATCTCATTACAACATTAAAAAATCATCTGTTGCAATATCTAAAAAAAACCCATTGCAACACAGAAGAAACAGCAAAAAAAGCTTACAAAACAGCCCGTGGCCAATCACCTCAAGCTCGCCAGAGGGAGGAGGGAATAGAACCACAGAGCTCGCCGGAACTCTAGCCACCGCCGCGTCCCCTCAGATCTAGAGGAGGAGGAGGAGGGCTCAGATCTAGAGGAGGAGGAGGAGGAGGAGGAGCTTTCAGATCCAGAAGAGGAGGGCTCAGATCTAGAGAAAGACCGACCTACCTCGTCAGAGACAACGCCGTCGCCCTCATCTCCGGTGAGGGGAGCGAGAGCCGGGTCGCTTGGGAGCACGGGGTTGCATGGATGTCGCGGAGGGGCGAGGGAGGGAGACAGGGTGTGGAACGGTGCGTCCGGTCGCCCCAGACGTCCAGTCTATATCATTATCGTAAGAGAATATATACATCATACGGAGTCTAGTCGCTCCTAAAAAATACATTTGCCGGAGACACCAAAGGAAATTCATTTTGTGAATAAACTATAGCCGACGCGGCGGCGAGAGGAAGGGCAAAAAAACAAATGTTCGTTAATAAGCACATACATATGTCTCTTTCACCGACGTACGGGTCTCAGGGTTGTCACTTTCCAAGGCTGACGCAACACACTGACTTATCACCAGTTTTTCCTGGGTGTGGCTGTGGTTTCCTTGCACGCAATCAAAATGCAACAAATGCACACCTACTCTCGGCAAGGTAATCAAAGACGAATGAAATTACCTTTTCGGTTGAATTGTCCTTGAGGAAAAAACAGACACATACATGCATGTAAAGTTTCAAGAGGTTTAACTCGATCTGGTCTGCAAGATATGAAGTTGAAAATTACTGAATGAAACACGGAAATATAGTTCAATCAGACGACTTGTTTGCTCAATTTCTGTCTTGATCACATGTTTAATAGTGTACCAAAACTTCTGACACGGCCTTTAGGACATTGTTTAACATCCTGTGTATCACCAAACAAAATCAAACACAAAATTTTGCATTCTAAAGCTATGAGATCCTCCGGATGAGCCTCAAAATATTTGGGTCCACAAGGTGTGAAGGTCATGCGTGTGGCATATATAACTTATACTCACAAGGGTTGCCTAGAATAGGGGCGCATCATATTAATTCAAGTGTAAACCAATTGGGTAAACATGCATTAGTTACCCAAATTAACCTACCCATGCTAAGGTAATAAGAATTTTAAATTGGTGCTTTCATTTGTTATCCTTCATTCATGAATCTTATAGACATTATCTTATGTAAGATTGCATTGCATGTTTAAACTTGTATTGCCTACATTTTGTGCCCGGCCCAATTACATGCACTACTGGAAACTCGCATTCTTCTGTGCGAAAACATATAGAAAAATGCGAATACCGTCAGGAAAATATTTTTCTGACGGTGCACTCTTAGAAAAATACACATGGAAATATAATGACAGAAAAATTCAATTGTTCTGTGTGTTTGCCGTTAGAAATAATTTTTCTGTGGGTGTTACACGCACAGAAAAATTATGTTCGGCCAGATTAAAAATAAAATTTATGTGCATTATTCCTCAGAAAAAAGAAAAAACCCGACAGAAAAATCATTTTTCTGTGGGTGTTACACGCACAGAAAAATTGTATTTTTCTGTCGGGTTAGGTGAACGCACAGAAAAAAATTCAATTGTTCTGTGTGTTTGCCGTTAGAAACAATTTTTCTGTCAGGTGTTAACAGACCACCGATAGAATAATATACACTTACCCATGCAGCAAATTGGATACCGTAATTATTTGGAAACAGTAGCAACAACACATTAAAATATGGACTGTCCATACAGTAATTTCATCACAACATATGAAGATGGAGTCCCAATGTTTAGCACATTCATTCATAGCATCCAGGCTCCGTGTAGATGATGTCCAAATATTCTGGCATCAATACATTCAAAAGCATTACCATCTCATGTCAGCATTTCATGAATTTCACTACTTCAGTTTCTCTCTCCTCGGTAATGATGGGGGTGTAGAGTAGCGAAGGCCAGGTGATGTTCTCCTCCATCGCCCCGCTGCAGCAGAGGTTTAGGGAGCTGGAGAGGATCAGGGAGAAGCGGGAGGAGAGGCTTCTCCACGTGCTCGCCCCCCGCCCTGCGGCCACTGCCTCCCCGAGGGAGATGCCCGTGAAGTGGTTCTTCCACTCGGAGCTGCTCTACCCGTGCAGGCCGTGTCAACCACTGTCTGTGAATATATCCAAAAGATGCACAGACAAAACCAGACACCGTCTCATACTGATGCCCCTGCCAAAAGATATTGTCCAAGTGTCTCAAGATATCAGCCAATCTACGAGAAACATGACAGAAATACACAGCACCATATAATGATGACTGCCAAGGGCATATCTCACAAACAGAACATTTGTGAATATTTTGTTGACCTAAATATTAAATGTCCAGTTTCCACCAAAAATTAGATATAATAACGTCATATCTGTATAGATTCTGCAAACCAGCCATCTCTAAATGATGGAACTCACATTTCGATGATCATCATACGGTGTCCACTCCAACAATATACACATGTCCAAGGAAATGTGTCGGTACAGAAAGTGACCAACTAGTGAATATTTATAGTTTTGCTGTACGTTGTGATCGGAGGTGGCCTAGCACTCAATGACACAGGATTTATACTGGTTCAAGCAACGTGCCCTACGTCCAGTTTAGGTCGGTCGGTGACTTTATTCCTGAGCCCAGGCGCTCGAAGTCTGTAGTGGGGTTACAAACGAGAAGGAGAAATGTGGGGTGTACAAGAGGCCCGGTCGGGTCCGACCGGAAGGGCCGAGGGCGACCGGAACTCCGCTATGAGCTAGGTGTTTAAGCGTGTGCTTGAAGGGTTGTGAGCTATCGATCTAGTGAGTCTCAACTTGAAAAAGTCGACCTTCTTCGTTGGAGGGAGCGCATCCCCTTTTATAGATGAAGGGGATGGCTTTACAGGTGAGAGGGAGAGAGTACGGATGTTACTAAGCCTTGTTGCCCACGCCGATGAGGGCAGTGATGATGGTAGGCGCCCACAATACTGTTGATGTTACTGTAGAATGTCAGGTGCACATGGGAGGTTGCGTTGTCTTCTTCAGGAAGGATAGATGTCGGTACCTGCAAAATACTGTTGGTATGTGAGGAGCCCTACCACGTGTACCAGGTATGGTGAATCCTGGTGCCCACAGTACTATCGATGCCTAGAGGCATGTGGGGGTTTTTTTGCCGTATGGGAGTCCAACGACGTCTACAATACTATAGACACAAATGTCGGC